ACCTAAGCTGTTTTTGAGGAATAACAGGATAAAAAAGAACTTGAATATCTGCTGTTAGCAGATATTCAGTTAGCAGTGGTGGTTAACTTCAAAATGAAGTCAGCTGTAGATGTGCATACAAGGATTTATTTCTGAAGGTTTCATCAAAATCTGTTCAGTGGTAATGAGATATTTTACTAACAGACAAGCGTGCAGGTTCGGTGATAAGCAATAATTTAGTAGAACATGCTTCTAAACTTCAGGATAGATGGTCCAAAATCTAATCAATACCTTCTCTCACACCGAAGTAAGAGGATGTGTTTCCCATAGAATCTCATGATGGGGACAGAAATGGACACCTGAGGCTTGTGTTTGTATTTCAGAAAGTGTTGCAGCGTTTCCACAGAAACCCATCCAAACCAGCCAACAAAGACGTGGCAGAGCAACTATTCGACATTCGTCAGAGGCAGATAGAGCTGACCTACCACCTGAAGGAACACTACTTCATCCCTTCAAAGGCCTTCTTCAAAAAACCAAAACCAGAACAGGACTTCACACCGGACATGGTGTCCATCTTCCAGGTTCAGACCCAACAAAACACAACAAAGTCTTAGAACTTTTCCTGTGAGAATAAATCTCAGTAACAACAGGTTTGTGTGTGCGTGTTCAGGTGGATCTGTCTGAGAAACCTCCTCAGGGCCTGGCTCTGCTCAGGATGTGCAACAACATGCTAGAGGAGGAGGAAAAAGCGGTTCAAAACATTCTAGAGTCCATAAATGAGGTACGTGTGTTAACGTGGTGTCACATGTGTTTTTAAATTGATTTAAAGAAAACTGGACAAATTAAGAACGGAAGAAAACTCTCTGCATTCTTCTGTAATTGTTCAGGTACAAGGACTATAACTGACTGAAAAATCTGAAAGTATTTTTTAACTGATTAGATTACAGTTGAACTCATGCTTTAATAAGCACATGGAAGGTGAGAAAAGTTTTATGTTAACATTGCAGAAAGAAGCACATTTACCAATTCAATGCAAATTGAACAGAACCACAACATTTCCACAGAGGCACAGGATTTTATCAGAGGATAGCCARACGCACAAAACCATCATTGCACATCGTCCACACAAATACAGGCCACATGTGCGCAATGTGCGTGGCACACAAAAACAGCAACGTGGCACTGCACACCGCACCTTAACAGTCAGGTCCTGACCAACACAAAGCCACAGAGCATGATGCACACGGCACAAAAAAACAGTGCATTTGTCTCACACGACAAAAAAAGGCGACATATGCACACACACAATGTTCTGCTTTTGACTCGACAAACCTTATTTAGTGGCTGCAATTTGCAGCCATTAGATAATGCCTCCATATTTTTTGCAGAATTATGAGGAGAGAAAGGCATGAAGGCAGAGACGCAGCGTCAGCTGTCAATCACAARGTGCCGCTACTGCGGTGTTAGAAAAATAATTAATTTAAACAGGGAAAAATGCATTTGATTTATGCAGAATGTAATAGAAACTATGACAAAGCATAGCCATGAGCATTGCATAATTATCAAAGCATAGTTATAAGCAAAGCATAACCTTGGTTTGATAAGGCAGGCGCCAAATCAAACCAAGGTTATTGCTTCTGCATAGCTGAATAAACAACATATCAGGATGACCTGCTTAGCTTATTCTCTGATGAGACTCTTTAAATGAAATCAACTGAAAAACATTTTATGATGATTATTTCAGACATGTAAACATTTCTGTTTCATAATCAGCTCTAAACCATTCATTAATTTACATAAATGAAAGATTTTCTRAAGAAAAATCCACAATTACCAGTATGTATTACTGTGTTTACAGTAAAAATAAAAACAGTGATTTGCATTAAACACAGTAAACATTGTAATCACATTGTCTGTGATTCTTTTATACCATCTTTAAGGCACAATGAGAGAAAAGAAGTTGTTCTACTTCTGCAATATTTTTGATTTAACAAATGTATAAACATTCTTAGTTAAATGAAAAATGAATCACGAACAATGGAGAMTATTCTGCTCATTATCTGATTAAGAGGAAGAGTAGTCTCCTTCATGTTTAAAGTGACCTGTCACGGCCTATATTTAAGTTCAGAGTGGAAAAGAGTTTCTGTCTTCTTTGAAGGCCCGTCCGAGGCCTGCTTCAGAGACAGAAATTCTTGTTTTCTCATTTGAGGTGACCCCTACACTGCTGTCTTCCTCAAAACAGTCACCGGCATTTTCACACCACGTTCTAGACCTGCCTTTCATTAGAAAAGGAGAGTAAATGTCTAAATCTGCTTTATCGACAATGCAGGAGACTGATACTGGTGGYATTTTAACCAAGGTGACCACTTTAGGGAATGCACCTTTTTATTAAAACAATTTGCAGCAACCAGGGTTGGACTGGCCATCTGGCGTACCGGGTAATGCCCGGTSGGCCGACGCTCATTTATGGGCCGGCCCGGGTCTGTCCATCCATCCATCCATCCGGGCCGGCAAGACCTTCCCCTTTTCAACCAAAGTTATAAATCCTGCCAGAAGCTGCCGGTCCGGACATGATAGCTCTGGGCAAAGCTCGTCGAGAAACTGGGGGAAAAATGCAGAAAGGTCCCCAAGTGGACGCAACAAAATGTGCAAAAATGAGCAACATATTTCCCTCAACAAGCCACAAAAATATCTCACCGACCGACCATWTAGTTATGTTAAATAAAACAAGGAGGGGGGAAAAAACAAACAAACGMCTTGGAGCAGCTGGCTCTGCGAGCGGACATGTCCCGACTCTTCAGCTGTTGGTTAGCTAAACCTGGACCGTTCAAGATGAATTAATTATAATATAAACTCCTCGACCTTCTGGACAAGTTTAATAAACTTCAAACTGCTGCTAACTGCAGCTTCTCCACATGCACAGCCTCACCTGGTGAGTTTAAAAAAACATTGCATCAGAGTTCTGCTTATAAAAATAGTGTGCATAGTTTAATTAAGGCTTTGTTTGTGAAAACTAGTAACAAATTCAGCTCTGTCAGCAGGTAGATCCATAAATATATCAGCTAATTATTCTCTCATGATGTCCAAGTTCTGTTTGTAAAGATCAGCTTGTTGYACAGTTTGAACAGGAATATTTTTATTAACAGTCTGAATCAGCAGCTGTATAAACATTAGACTGATGCTTCAGTTCAGGTTCATTTATGGTTCTGATGTTTACTAAAATGAAAACATTTGTTTTTACTGAAACATAGCTACAGCTTCTTAAGATAAAATGTGATAAAAGTTGGTCTGTGAGGGTGTTCACGTTTTACAGCAGATTTTTATATTATGTTGAAATATAAGAAATAAAAAAATAGGTTTGGGTCAATTGAAATAATTTGACCTGAAATTAGAATCCATGGGTTTTGTTTATTATACTAAATGTTAAATAAAATAGGCTATACATCCCTAAATAAACACTGTGGTGTATTAAATTTAAAAATGAAACCTTTAGATGTGAATCAGTGCTCTACATTTGACTTTTAGGAAGGAGGAKGTTTTAGTTTAGTCTCATTTGATGATCTGTTAGTATAAAATCTTACAGCAGCAGTAGAACTATGATGGTACATAAATACTGTTTCAGTCACTTTGTAATATTTTCAGTGTCACCAGGTAAAGAAAGAGCTTCTTACTGATGGTTTAAGATAAAACTGAGTTCAGTCTCTGTTACCATGGTGATTTAACTAGGTTCAGACTCAGTCTCTGTTACCATGGTGATTTAACTAGGTTCAGACTCAGTCTCTGTTACCATGGTGATTTAACTAGGTTCAGACTCAGTCTCTGTTAGCATGGTGACCTAACCAGGCCCAAAGAAATCCTTCATGACTCTGAAAATTTTCAGTTTAGCAGTTGTCTGATCTTCAGTTTGTATGCTGCACTTTAACTTGTGATACAACACAACATGCAACACATCCTCTGGTATGTCGTGTCCATTTGCATATTATATAAATAATGATGGTGAGCCGCCAGGACCAAAAAATGCCCGGGCCGTTTTTTGGTCCCAGTCCAGCCCTGGCAGCAACATGGCCTCACCTGCTCCATGTGTTGGACCATGATCCACCTCCATGTCAGGCTAGGCGGGGCGCAGAACAGGGGCGTTGCGCTGTGACATGTGGCACCGCTTCTCAAACATGCCTTTATGAGACAGGACACATTCTTCTGCAAGCTCAGCAGCCTTAGAAACTTCTGTCACTTTTTATTCATTAATATTTTGTAGGAAAAAATGTGTTGTTCAAAATGGTATGTCCGAATAAACAGGAATCTGCTGGATTTCTTGTTAAAACTTTATTCTCAATCTTCTGACTCCAGTCAGGTACAGCACTCWGCAGGCCTCAGTGTAAGACCTTGAGATAAAAACCCAAACAAAACAGAGCAGCTCTGCAACACACTGACAACTTCTTAAAACGCTTCCCACTTCTAATGAATTGACCTTAATATGTACATCTCTTCCTGGTTACACCCCTGGAGGTGTTACCTTTTACATCAGATGTAGAACGTAACTCATTTTTGTTTAGGCTAAAGAAAGAACACATGATAGATAAGACACACACCAACTCTTATTTTTTTAAGGCTTCAATGACCAGAAAGTATAAAACACAATACTGCATCTAATATTCAATTAATTAAGTTACAAAATTTCTTTCAATGTGTTGCAATCGGACATGTCGCACAACTTTTAAACTCCTRGATTAAGATCAGATCAAATAACTGATCAGAAGTTTTTATGTTATGTGCCAAACACCAGTGAACAAAGAAAACATGTTTCATGAGCAAATTCCACATAAGTCTGACCCTCAGCTTTTTTCTCATTGGCAAAATTTCTGCCTATAATCCTCCGATACAACTCATGTGTCCTGAGCACAGCTGCTTTCGCTTTATCATAATCGTAAGATCTGGTGGGAGTGAAGCATAGGTCCCCTAAGCTTTAGCTGTGAACACACACTGCAACAACAAAAGCCAAACCTGCTTTAGCCATTACAATGTCATAGGCACCTTTTCAAAAAGAATAAAWTATTTGTCCACATCCTTGTCAGAAAAGGGTGGTGTCAGACAAATGCATTTATTCATATGAAAATCAGAATAACCAGACACAGCAGGAGAACCACTCAGCTCAAGCTCCTTTAAGCAAACCTCTTTTAGAGTTTCAGCCTCTATAGTTGAAACTCACGATCATGCTGTTTTTGTTTAAGGGTGAATCAGCAGAGTTCAGCCTGTAACCTGTCATCTTTCATTTTTCTTTGATTGTTGTTCTCTATTTTGGAAAATACTGAGAAAGTCCAACTTTACATCAGATAAGCAACAACTTTTCTAAAGAAAGCAGCTGTCAGTCAGCTGGATGACCAGAGAGTTTTTACCCTGAACTAAACGTGATTTTGTTAATTTTATCGGAGTTAAATGTGTGATCACCTCGGTCCTGTGAGAACAGATAGCTGCCATCGTGGCCCACAGAGAGCAGGAGGACCACAAGGTGAAGCTTCTGACACCAAGCATGTCTGCAGCTCTGGATCGCCAAAAGAAGTGGAAACAGGTGAGGCTCGGACTTCACATTGATTTAAAGGGATCCTTGATTAGTWGTAACATTAGACTTTATTTAATAAACATATATTTTAACTGTAAAATAAAGACTGTAAAAATACTGTAGGATGTTCAGTTTTTATCATTTTTAAACTGACAGTTTAAAAATATATTACACGGAGGGGGCCATTTTATTTACACTCAAAGCATTCTGGGAAAATGATGACATGGATAGGTCATCGGTGCGAGGCTGCTAGCGAGCTATATCCACCCTGAAGGTTGTTAATCTTGGACAATATCTGATGATCGACTCTTTTAAATGAAACCAGAGAGCGTTGACAGAGAGGAGAAGGTAGAAATGACTCAGCCTGGAACTGAAAATATGGATGGAGGACCTCAGTTTGGCTCATTAGTTTGTTGCACTAGTGCCAAGCTAACACATATAAGGCAATATAGCGTCGGAGCTAATGCTAAAGCTAACAGGCTAAGCTGAGGTTGTTCTTCCATGAAGCAGCTCTGTTGTCCTCCATCCATATTTTCAGTTCCAGGCTGAGTCATTTCTACCTTCTCCTCTCTGTCAACGCTCTCTGGTTTCATTTAAAAGAGTCGATCATCAGATATTGTCCAAGATTAACATTCATGCTGCGTTCACACCGAACGCGATTTCAGCTTCAAAATCACATCCAACGCTGAAG